GACTCTTCATTGCCAACTGGCTATGAACTGCTACAAAATCTCCTTTGTCCAAAATCTTTCGCCCTTTTCTGACTGTGTCCAAAACGACATCTGTTCGGTACTTTTCAGTAACGTTTCTCTGCACTTTATGTGGTCCAAGATTGTCATCATTGATTTTTCAATGAGTCCATTTGCGGAGATAACCAATGGTATTGCTTGCACAGTTTTTAACAGATTTACCCTGGATTAGGTTTTTTCCTTTATTTCTACAGGTTTCCTATTTTCCATATTTTTTGCACATTTTCTTACAATGAAACAACAGCGTTAATGTTTTCCGATCCGATATTAATATGTCTTTACGATTGTGATCAATGGCATGAAATCTGACTATACGCTAGTCGAAATAAATCGTATTTTGGTCATCCCAAGCACGCTCTATTTCGAATTATTTCTGCAGAATGATTAGCATCTACTCTGCATTTGCAAACTAGCGGATGACAGCCTCTTCTATGATCTCCATCGCAGAATAATATTCTGTAAAATAATAGCCGTTGCACTTAATCGCGGTTCGGCAATATGTCTTACCGACTGCCCTACTAATTATCATCTGAATTATTCAAAAATAATAAAAACTTCAAATACAAAAATAATTATGTTTTTAATGGTTTGCTAGTAAACTGCTAGATCAGTCGACTAAACAAGATTTAATTATTGGTGAATTTTTACCGTCCATGCAAATCGTCAATCTTTTGTCCTCACGGAATGTGAGGATAAAAAGGGAAAGATACAATGTTCAAAATTTAACTTTGATGAATCTGAAACAATTGACTATAGGACTTATGATAAGCCCCGAAATGGTAGACAATTCTAAACGAGACGAAGTGAGCTGTCACTTGGTCTAAAAGAAACAAATTTGGCACAGAGTTTAACAGGAACCTGTCGAAAAAGAATTGCTTTAAAATCATTGGGTTTGCCATTAGTAGAACTTTGACATGAGTAACACAAAAAAATCACTTTATCAGACAGCCAAGTTTTGGAACAGAGATAAACGATTATAAACGAGTAAAATCTTTGTGATATGGCGGTTACTGAGGAAGAAGCTGCAAAATACTAAATCAACAATGCAGATACAGCAGTAGCTTAGATGTCTGCTTCCCTTCCTGAATTGCAGGTCTTTTGTAAAAAGTTTTTCAACCCTGTCACGTACCTTTTGCTAGAGCACCTACCGAATCCGATAAACCGATTATGCAGAAGGCCTTACATCGGCATACACTGGAATCCAGCCATTGATTTTGTCCATTTGGCAGCAGA